AAATTAAACGAAATATGGATAATGTTAACATTGAAAAGACGATTGATGATAGTGCAGTTTAAATGGTGACAGGATGCACGTAACTAAGCAACAGAGCGTCCGTTAAAGACGCAGTTATGACGAAGTATTATGTCCCAAAGCTTGCCTACTGTTCTGCTACATACTCAAAAGTATGTACTTTTTCTTCACAAAAAGAGTACATACTTTTAGGGCATAGTATAAGTAGGCGAATTGGGATGCAGCATACTTTAGCTGTCGCATACATAGGATCACAATGAACGACGGCATGTATGATTTGTCGTGTCGCGCCACGCCACATCCAGTGTAGACAGCATCACTGATTATAATGAGTTCTATAGTATTTTGTATCAATACAGTACTTTTGAATTCATTATTGAATTTTGCACATAACAATGTGATTAATCGCAGAAAAATCATTCGATTAATCGCCATTAAAAATTTTAATCGTTGCCCAGCACTAATAATAATATAGAAAAGTACACATTTCACTCACTGCTAAAGTAATTGTTGGCAAATTCTGATGTAAAATTAAAACCAACCATATTAAAAAGACGATTATCATGCCATAGTAACATTTAATAACAATACCTGAAATACTAAATATACATAATCAGATTATGTATTGATATTCAATTTGATCAATGTAGTTAACAAATGTAACATCATGGATTTTGGTAGGATTTATATGTACAACATTTAATAACAATTCTTTTACGAATCATTGTGTAGCATAGTGAATTCCATTTGACTGTAGGCTATTATGAGATAATATTTAATTCATGTTCATTTTGTTACAAATACTTAAAGACACAGAAAATGAACATTTAATGCCAAATATACTTTTTTATTTCAAAATAATCCTTACAATCCTTAGATCCTTCAACATGATTGTTGGACACAGTACTTGTACTTCCACCGTCGATCCCTGAAAGAAGTAAAACAAGCATGACATTAGTGAGCAACAGAGCACACGGTTTGACAGTGATGTGTTAGACTTGAAATAGATTCACTTATTAAATATTAGAAAAAACATAAGGAGTAAGTAAAGAAATTATACCCACTCTTGAAAATTTTGATGGTAGCTATCAGCGCCCACCAGAAAACTGTGAGGAGGCACAGTCCAGTAGATGTACTCATCAAAGTAGTTCACATATGAAGTCCACTGACAGTTTCCAGAAATACACTTACTTTCACAGCAGTAAAACCTCCACCTGTGTAAAAACATGGCATTCACTTTAGATTAGATGAACGCAAGTGAATTAAAATTTAAACATGAGAATCTGTCAATCATTAGAGCTCACATTCTGTCCTCATAGTAGTTGTCGTGGTGGCTGCTCATTCCTGCAAGTGCGTACTGTGGTTTACACTCAAAAGTGAAAGTTTGGTCAAAGTTGTTGATGTAAGGTGACCAGTAACAGTCTACAGCCTTGCTGGTGGGTTTACAGTCAAAGTCCCAACGTCGGTCCTCATAGAAATTGTGGTGTTCACTTTGATTGAATTAAACAAGTTAGGAATGGAGAAAAAAACATATTATAATTGCATTGATATTTATACTTAAATTTGAAAAGGTTAAAGATTAACAATTTAATACATTCATCCATGGCAAAGCTAACCCTAACATACAATTTGTGTATTAAAAAAAGTTTTATGCCTTCATACTATAGTAATGTTTATAATAGCTTGATACATATTAATAAGTGATACTCACCTTCTTATGGAGGATATAGACTGGCCTGAAGGACAGTTAAAATTTAGAGGCTGATCGTAGTCGTTTTCCCACCCTATGTAAAGTTAAACACAAAACCAATATCAGCTTGGAATATATTTAAATATCAAATAACACAAAATAAATGCTGCAGATAAAACAGATCTCAATCTTTCAAAGATACACATAGAAATTTCAGGAAAAGGATCAGTGTAAAATGCTAACACATATTTAGTGAAGTCACCCACCTTGTCCAGTGGCCAACAGTCCTGTCAGAAGCAGAAACAGAGCAACCCTCCACATGGCCTCTTGCGTGTGGGGATGCAGTTGTGTTTTGTGGCGTTTAACCAACGTTGTGATAGCGCTCATTTGACTCATTCTTTTAAATGCTTATCGTGTGGCAGTGGCCAATCACAAGTCTGACAATTACTCTTTTGACTATAGCACTGGCCAATCACGTGTCTGCAGGGTTTGATGGACTGCTAACTTTTGAACAGGATGTGTAAAAATGTTTGTTTAAATGGGTCATGACATGTTTTTTTTTGGTTTGTTTTATTATGTTCCCTTAGGTGCAATTATTATGTAAAGTTAAACACAAAACCAATATCAGCTTGGAATATATTTAAATATCAAATAACACAAAATAAATGCTGCAGATAAAACAGATCTCAATCTTTCAAAGATACACATAGAAATTTCAGGAAAAGGATCAGTGTAAAATGCTAACACATATTTAGTGAAGTCACCCACCTTGTCCAGTGGCCAACAGTCCTGTCAGAAGCAGAAACAGAGCAACCCTCCACATGGCCTCTTGCGTGTGGGGATGCAGTTGTGTTTTGTGGCGTTTAACCAACGTTGTGATAGCGCTCATTTGACTCATTCTTTTAAATGCTTATCGTGTGGCAGTGGCCAATCACAAGTCTGACAATTACTCTTTTGACTATAGCACTGGCCAATCACGTGTCTGCAGGGTTTGATGGACTGCTAACTTTTGAACAGGATGTGTAAAAATGTTTGTTTAAATGGGTCATGACATGTTTTTTTTTGGTTTGTTTTATTATGTTCCCTTAGGTGCAATTATAATATTACTATAGATTTTTGGACGAACAACTTTACAAATTTAGTGATTCATGACCTTTTTCCACCCTGTTTCTCATCCTCTGACTCAAACAGTCGGTTTTGTTTTTTTTCCCCCTTTAAGAGGTCAGTGTAACTGCCCACTGTTATGATTGGCTAACTTCAGAGCATTAATTATTATCGCCCCCTAGTCAGAACCAAAATAAAAAAATAAATTACACTTCCAATACAATTTTCCGAAAGATGGTTTTGGTCATTTAAGGTAGTTGTTTTCACGCTGATATATGTTCAATTGTTCGTTTTTGTGATACGTTTGATTTTAGCTAGTAATGTGATGCTATAAAAACGGGGCGTGTTGTTATGGTTGATTGGCTTATTGATCACGTCTCAGGTAGATTGCATGTTTTCTTGCGCGGCTGGATGTTGGACTCGTGAAAAATAACCACGTTGTTTGAATTTGCCAAAACTGATTTACTGAAGTCAAAACACAGACGGAATTAGCGTTATTGTGAGCGCCTCTTGCTGTGACGCGGGGTGGTAGGCTGCGAAGGATCCATCGGATGTATCTTTCATTTGCCGGAGAAACGGAGGACTCATTTGAAGTCGCGTTCGAATTGCGGCAGCCTTCATTGCGCCGCGGTGACGCAATCGGCCTTCAAATGCAGCCTTCCGAGGACGTGTGTTTGAATTGGGACAGCCTTCGTCGCGCTGCCGTGACGTAATCGGCCTTCAAATGGGTCCTTCGAAGGACGTAGCCTATGAATTGGGACACAGCT